CGGCTGCGACCGGAGGGGCAGGCGTTGTCGGGCATCGGAGATGGCTCGCAGGGGCCTCAGGGACCAGGAGGGACCGATGAAACACGGGGTGGAGTCGCATGGAGCGTGGTAGAGCCAACCGGTAGGCCACCGGGTTGATGACCGCCTCGACTGGGAAGGGACCGATAAAGCGGTGGTCCAATTTCCTCACCGGCCGGTCTGAGGGGAGGTGTTTCGTGGACAGCCACACCCGATCTCCGACTTCCAGCGGTGGCGTGGCCCATCGGGAGCGGTCGACGACCCGCTTATAGTCCTCCTTCACCCGAATCAGCTGCCGTCGCACCAGTTGCTGCACCGGCTGCAGCTCCGAGAGGAAGTCCTGGGTCTTGGGAACAGGGGAATCTGGGATCGCCAACGGGAACAACCGGGGATGGTAACCGACATTGGCGTGGAACGGGGTCATCTGGGTGGAGGTGTGTTGGGAGTTGTTGAATGCGAACTCCGCCAGGGGAAGGTACTCGGCCCAGTTGTTCTGCTGCTGGTTGACGAAGCAGCAGAGGTACTGCTCCAGGATGCCGATGACCTTCTCCGTGCCCCCGTCAGTCTCCGGATGGTGCGCCGACGATAGGCACACCTGCACCTCCAGTGCGGCCATCAGGCTTTTCCAGAACCGGGCCGTGAACTGGGCCCCGCGGTCCGACACTACCCTGTCCGGCAGGCCATGGAGGCGAAAGATGTGCTGCAGGAACAGACGGGCCGTGGTGCGGGCGGATGGCAGTCCGCGGCACGGGATGAAATGGGCCATCTTCGTGAGCATGTCCACCACCATGAGGACGGTTGTGAACGTGGCAGACAGTGGGAGATCCGTCAGGAAATCCATGGAGATGGCACCCCACGTCTCTCTGGTGTCGGCAGCGGTTGGAGGAGTCCAGGAGGTGGGCCGGACGCGGATTTGGCCTGTCGGCACGTCACACAGGACATCACGTAAACGTGCACATCATGCCGTACCCTAGGCCACCAAAAAGTCCGCGTCACCAGGTTCAAGGTCTTGAAGAACCCGAAGTGCCCTGCCGCGGGATTGTCATGGCACTGGCTCAGGATGAGGGCTCGGAGCGGGCTTGTAGGCACGTATAGTCGGCCCCGGTGCTTCAGCAAGCCGTCTTCCAAGGTCCATGGGGACGCTGGGCCAACTTCCGCTCTCCGCTGCTGCGACCAGTCATCACGGTGCTGCGCTTCCCGCACCTGAGCCCGCAGGTCCGCCGGTTCCTGGACCGCGGCCAAGGCCTCTGCAGGCAGCACCGTCCGAGGGAGAAGGGGGTCCTTGGGGCAGAAGTATTCCGGCTTGCGGGATAGCGCGTCCGCCCTCTGATTGAGGCCGCTCGGAACATAGGTGACGTGGAAGTTGAACCGGGCGAAAAACAACGACCACCGGATCTGCCGCTGGTTCAACTTCCTGGCCGTGGTGAGGTGCTCTAAGTTCCGATGGTCCGTCCGCACCTCCACCTGGTA